CGACACGCTATCCCTCATCGTTTACGCGATCCCCATGTACAGAAACGAATTTGAATAGCCCTGTATAATCAGCTACTCATTGGATTGAAATCACTACCACCACTCAGCTTCAAAAACAATCTGAATTCGGTTCTCTTCTTTCATGAAATTTGATCAGTTGACACCTATACTTGATATTATTCACCATAAATATGTGGAAAATATCAAAATCATCATTATATTATCATAATAAATTTCCTTTATGTTTATGACACGACTTTTCACATTCAAAATATCAAATTATCATTCATTCGTTTTTTGTCTCTCTTTCCTGCTTTTTACCCATTCTTTTTTTCTTTCCTTGATTTTTTTTCATCAAGTTTGCTTGTAAAATATTTTGTATCAATATGAGTTAGCTGTTTCTGTTTGGATGGAAGACCAATATCTGCTTTGATTTATCATGTGCAGATGTTGAATTATGCCATTTGTGAAGTAAGGTTAGTATCTCTTGCAATAAGTAACCTTTCGATAAAAGCATTTATTTATTTTTTTCACCGTAGTGTGCGCTGGTCAGGCCCTATTCCCCGAAACCCCAATACATTCGGGAGGGCGCGCCAGCATTATCAACCAATGACCACTTCCCACACCGTGCGATAAGTGGTCATTGGGTCCGAGAATCATGTGCCCTGAGCAAGCGCAGTGAGCCAAGAATGACAGCCTTATGTATCTATGCAGCTAAGATTTCTGCCTTAGTGCGGCAAGCCGGTATGATTTCAAGATTCGAGAGTAGAGAGAACATCATTCCACCAAGGACTTCAATAATCAGAACAAACATCTTGACAGAGTGATCTGGATAGAGTCAGCGGAGTTCGAACAAAAAATCTCGATATTTTATCCGTTTTTCCTCCTCTTTTCTGACGATATTCGTCTTGCCAGGAGCTGAAAACTCCACGACAAATATCTTTTTGCTCTGGTGGTCAAGAAGGACTACATCAGGCTTATTAGCTTGTATGAAGAAGAGGACTGAGGGAATCACCCTGAAATACACCCCTGGAAGTGACCCACCCTGTTTGGACTCTTACTTGACCTGATGTTATGGTGAAGCGAGTTCACCAAAGTGGTATCAGTTGTTGAATGCATCTCACTATTTTGTCGGGTACCGCAAGGCATCTGAGCAAATGCAAGATGAGCTCATGCGAAATTGTATCAAATGCTTTACGGCAATCGATCCAGGCCATAGAGAGGTTACGCTTATATTGTATCGAGTCCTGCGTTATACATCTATCGATGAGCAGGTTCTGTTTACATCCAGCGACTCCTCTCTTCGACCCTCTCTGCTCATATATCCGTTCGAACACTCGGTCAACTGCGGTGAGTATTCGTGTGTATAAGATGCTTGTAAACAACTTATAACACGAATTCAAGCATGTTATCGGTCTGTAATTCTTAGGAATCGACAAATCTCCGCTTTTGGGGATGAGAACGGTCCGCCCCTCGACAAACCAATCCGGAATCGGCTGCTCTCCGTCCAGCCATAAGTTGAAAACTCTGGCCAGATGGCGGTGGGTACTTGGTAGTTTTTTCCACCAATAAGTGTTCAGCCCATCTGGGCCTGGAGCAGCAAAGTTCTTGGAACCAACAAGGGCTCTTCGAACGTCATCCGGGGTTATCGGGTTGCGCAGTTCATTGAGCTCAGGCTGTCGAAGCTCTCTGTTGAAAGCTTCGAACTGCGCTAGGGCTGGAGTGTCTAAGTTGAGTGGCTGCGGGTGTTCATAGATATCCTTCCAGAAAGATTCCACCTGATCAGCGGTCGTCGGATCATCCACAACCCGTGACACTTGCATTCGTATTCTATCAAGGCAATGCCTCGACTCAAACTGTGATGGATACGTCGTAGATTGGCGGCTATTCGCCGCACTGCGGGCGTGAAAGGCCTATTGGCCGCCCACGCACACATTGGATACGAGACGCGTGTTGTCTCGCCTACCTGATCTTAGGCTCCATCTTGTATACATGCCGTTCAATCTTACGAACCGTCCTTTCGTCCTTCCGATTCGGAAAGCGATTGGACGACGTTATACATGGCGGTGTTGATTTGCCAGATGTCAGCCTCTTCTGTTAGAATGCTATGAACCTCCGCATCCAAACAAGCCAGTTCTAATGGCGTCAGGGGCCTAATTCTGTGGAGCGCCCTGCGTGTTCTGATTGACTTCATTGGTGGCATGATGCGAGTCCCCTCTCCAGCCGTGCCAACGGGTGGTAGAACTGTCACTTCTGCCACTTCGTTAGCAGGCTGGGGAGGAGCTATAAAGCCCTGCCGTCGAAGATAGGATACGTTATCCCTAAAATTTTGTGCGGAAAAAGCGGCATGCTCCGGATGTGTTTCACACCACGGAGCATGCAATCTCGCCATGTAACCTCCTCGCGCGGGCTCACTACTCTCGGAGCAATGCATATAAAGATTTCTCTCAGCTCATGCGTTCACTCGAAGCGTCCGTTGTTGTTTCCTGGGTTGTCATCAGTGGGCAAATTATCGTTATGGGCCCCAACCACCTTGCCTCTGAACCCTCCAAGCGGGTCGATTGTGGGGGCCTCTTCCTCGATTATTGGGAACCAAGTGTTGGGTCCACCGGATGGTTTGCCCTGTGGACACACGGCCGGCACCGGAGGGAGAATAGAGTTCACCTTCCTGGGTGCGCCTGGGCTGCCGATCCGGTTTTGCACCAGTTGCTCGGGTAAGTGTGGCAACTCACCAAAGGCCAAGGGTGTTAGTGGCCATCCCTACTTATCATTATTATCATTATCATCATCATTATTATTATTACTTTATAACTGTAATTTGTTTAAGTTTATATTACGTGCACCAAATTGTGTTTAATATTTAATGATGGATCTCATTAGACATATGGTTTTTTTTATATGGGGTAATGCGAGCGGAACTGACAGTTGTAATAAAAGTGATTTTAACAAAGTGAGAGTTAGTTTTTTTATTTCAAAAGTTCTTGATGATTGAAAGACTGATAAGTATGTAAATAAAAAATACAACAAAAACTCGCATTCACTTCGTCATTTCCTTACATGGCTCCAATTCCCCCACTCTCCCCTACCATGAACTCTGTTCTGACATAACTTAACTAGATGGTGAACTAGAAGACAACTGGAGAATACTATGAGACATCAATGTACACCCAGGTATACCACCTTTCCTGTTATAAAGATAATGCGAATCAAAAGAGAAGGTAGCAATAATCTGAAGTGCTTTAAAAATGTTGAATTAGAGATTTGTGGAATTGGCCGTGGTGGTAGTGCGCCCGACTCACGATCGGAAGATCGTGGGTTCGATTCCCGCCTCGACCAGATATTTTTCTCGAGAGAATTTATCTGGTTCAAGCGGGGATGATTCTGCAATTGTGTTAGGAATCACACGTTAAAAGGTAAGACCTCGTTAGTCCTTAGCTCGCACAAGTTTCTCAACTCCTGAGAGTGGTCGTTCGTATGGGGGGCGACAGCTGATTAACGGAAAAACAGATTTTAAATAGACAGACAGATTTTTAATTCACTAGTAAACTGAAATTTGCAATCTGTCAAAACTTCTTAAAGCAAGTCTATGGCAGAATGGTCTCTGCAATGTTGAATATCATGAATTACTTCAATCATATGGGAGAGAAAAACGGATTCCTGCTACGGAAGATGGATCAACGAAATAAAATTCAATATTGGGCTATTTTAACACGGTAGAACTTGATGTATGAAAATGAATCATTCAATAAATGTGAAAATAACAACCCAAATCGATTAAAGTTCCCATCTGAACACTCGGACCAAATGAATTCTCCGCTGCCGAGAAGTTGTGGAGAACTTTTCATGTTCAAACTTTATAACAACTGTGGCTGAAACATGATCGAAGCCAGCTTCCAGTCTATTATTATCAATCGTTCAATAAACTTTGTCTCAGATTGATCGGTGGACTCGATATATTGGGCTCTGGTTCCAAAAATTAATAATATGTGAGATATGAATTGATAGTCAAAAGAAAATTGACCTTTGTTAATTTTGTTCTGTAACTAGATTTAATGATATGAAGTTTATTTGAAGGCTCAGGGTATTTTCTGGTGTCACTGCCTCTTTTGGATGTCCACTGCGTTCTGCATCATCGGTGTCTCTACGACCACGTTTAAAGTCAGCAAACCAACGTTCAATTTGTGTGATTATTTATTTTATTTATACGACAGGTTTCGAGTTTGATCCCATTATCAAGTATATACTTGATATTGGGGTATAAGTATATGGGGGACAAGTATATACTTGATAATGGGGTCAAACCCGAAACCGGTCGTATAAATAAAATCTACCAGTGGTATGTAGACAAAAGTGTTTTTTATTCATTCAATTTAAGCAACGTTTAATTGTTGTTTCTGATGGATCGGAGTCTTTAAAACACTTTTCAAGCCATTGCTTCGCTTGAACGGTATTTCAAGAAGCAGTGTGAAATTGAAACACGAAATTGTTTTTGATGCTTTGTTTTGAAAATAACAAAAGTGGTGTCAGTTTCAGCACAATAACTCACAAACTTATGACTAGATCATCATGAAAGATTAGCGCCATCTATGTGTTAGGCTTGAGACTTTTCAGCCCATGTAGTATATGAACTGGAAACCATTGAATTCATTACATTATCATTTCAGTAGGAATATTTCCATAACAATTGCTGACCAAATATTTCTTTATGGAAATTTTCAACAGTAACGTATACGGTTGAATGAACTGAACGTAAGTTTGAATCAATATATTTCATGACTTTGCTCACAACTCCTCTGAGTTGCTACTAACTGTTTGAATTAGCCTTTTGCAATTGATATTTTATATTGAAAGTTTTGTTCTCATTCTCAGGTAGTCCGGCCACTTTATAATTGCTCAATTGAATGATATCAATCAAAAAGTAAACAACTTTTCCAAATTTGAAATATTTGAGAAAGTTATACGGAACAGCGACGAGAAAGAAATGGTAATGATTAATGTACCTTCGATATTCTGAGTAAACCAGCCGAGAGAATCGCGAGTCTCTCGCCGAGCGCAACAGGTACGCTCTGTCCCTGCAACTCCCTCTTCCAGTAGTAGCCAGGGACGGGATGTCCTTGCGCGACGCACGGAAGGGTGACGTCTTCTCCGAGGACGACGCGTCGGGCATTGTACTTGTCAACGGAGATTCGAGGCTGCGTGCTTCCCTTCGGCTCCGTCACTATTACACGGCCGGGGTAAGTGCTCGTTTGTACTTCGCCTGAAACACAAAGGGCTCTTGTAATGGAGTGTCGACTACAGAATGGGAGGTCGGCCGGATATTATGAAGGAACAGGAAAAAAGTTGTTGAGTAGGAAAGGGTGTCGTTTGTATGCCGTCGTTGGACGTTTTGTTATTTGATGGTTTTTATCCCACACCTGACACCTTATATATTTCACGATTCAAATTTGCTTTTGTTCGAACATGAATAACTTCTTGGTGTTCGCAAGGGTTCAAAATATATTATGAATATTTTAAAGCGTAGAAAATAAGTGAAAATCTTGTAGCAAAATATATCTTCGAAAGTGACTGAGAATATCAGTATATTATTTAAGGTTATGAAACAAAAATATATCATTACGCAAATTTCTACAAATAACAATAGGTGGAAATGAAATATATCAAAGTACCAACAAATTCATTCTGGAAATATTTGAAATTGATCATTTATTAAAAACACGGATAGGTAGGTATATGTTGACCTGAAAATATGAAATTTTATCATTTATAGAGAGACGTTGGGTACGTCTCTACCAACCATTCAAAAGAATTCATTAGAATTTTTTTGGTAGCCATGTTTTGCAAAGTCACTGAGTTCCATAAAGTCTAAATGAGTTCATTGAATATGAATGTTCATTCTGCTGAAGGTGATTATTTCTAATTCAACTACATATATTTCGAAACTATAAAATTGGAATATCATTCGGATATGTGAGGTTTCGACTTTATTTTTGACCAATAATTTTCCCGAAAACATGATATGTGTATCAATAATGATCAATGAAATATACAAATTTCATGTAAAGCAGGCAGTTCTAGAGTCTAGAAATATAGTAGGCATTTCCTTAGTATCATATGAATATCTTGCAATAAATGAAACAGGCATTCAAAGTTACGCGGAAAATGCTGTGCTTTAATAGCTTGTATATTATTCAAAAGAATTATGTTGAGTTGTCGAATAACATGAACCGAGATCTACTTTTTGAAGTATGAAAAGTGGGAAAATATCTCATCATTGTAAGTCAAATTGAAAAATCGGCTGAGGAAAATATGTCGTTTTGAATTTTCTCTGGAAGTGGAGTGATCAATCAAAACAAATAATGTGGTGATAACTGAATGAAAACATCGAATTATACAAAGAACACTTTTCTTTATTCAGCTTGTATTCCAAACTTTCGTTATGGAATTGAGTCAGATATCATTCACAGGATTCCTACACAATACAGGGTGTAATATTAGAGGAATATATTCTTGCTATTCATTCTCATGATCAGCCAATGGAATTTTTCATGAAGCAGTGATCTGGAATTCACTGACTAAGTATTTTTACTTCACTAAAATGTAATTATATTTTTAATTTTCAAAAAAGCTTTATTTGGTCAGAAAAAAATATTCTTGCCATTCATTATTATGATCACTTAATGAAATTTCCATGTTAAGGCAGGCATAGTTGGAAAATGTTTTGTCAATTCTTATCTTCTATCACATACTTATTGTATTTTTTGTGAAAGGAATGTTGATGTGACCTCTCATATCACCAGATTTTATACTTATAAACTGTTTACTCTAGGTTTATATGAAATCAACGGGTATCAGTGTGTTGACGGTGAATATTTGAAACAATTATCATATTGACTATTCCTCATATGTTTGAAAGTTGTTGATAATGACTTTCATCACCTGAAAAAGGTTTTATTAGGTTTGGAATCTATTGAAGAACAAATGAAAATGAATGAAGCGTTGAAATCATCAAGAATACTGAAATGATAAAAACATGTAAGAACGCCTAATTTTGAAGCAAACCAAAAAAAATTAATTGATACATGGGTTAACAATAGGGAATATGTCAGAATATATAGAAACAACACAAATAAAATGAAAATTAAAAATAAAATAAACAAGATAAATGATGGAAAATACAAAAAAAAAAGAAAGAAAAGATTCGAAACCTTTCTCAAGATCATAAATAAATCATCTAACAAAAACCTTTACAGGTGATTTTCATCTCTTTCCATCCCAAACTAATCATTACGTATTTCATCAGTTCGGACTTCCATTGTCTAATAAAATATAAATTAATATGAAATCCCTGAAAAAAAAATTAAAAAGATTAACCGAAAATAACAATTTTATTAAACAAAACACTGAAATCACAAAGAAATAACATACAAATTGCTATTTTCGGTTAATCTTTTTAATTTTTTTTTCAGGGATTTTAAATCAATTTATATTATATTAGACAAGTCCGAACTGATGAAATACACCACGAAACATTGTCAACCACCTTCAAATAATCATTACGTGTTTTTAATTTTTTTTTTCAGGGATTTCAAATCAATTTATATTATATTAGACAAGTCCGAACTGATGAAATACACCACGAAACATTGTCAACCACCTTCAAATAATCATTACGTGTTTGACAGCAGGTACGTAATGGCTAATTCAGAATGAAGATATATTCTAAATTACTTTCATGGGAAATTTTGAAAAATTATGAGATATTTTTACTCTAATCTTTACTGTAATGAATATGATCTCATGAATACTTTCAATTGTCCTGAAGCCAAAATCAGTGAGTGAGGATTATCTGTAAAATCGAAATGAAAATCATATTTTCAGTAAATTTATTGTTCAACACTTTGTGGGTTGGTAATGAATCTAGTTATATCCGTGAATCCACTTGTTTAAAATATTAAACTGCCATTCAGTATCTCGTAAAAGTTCAAAATGAGCGATAAAGATCAGGAAATTTGTGCTACCCCACCAGATATTACCGAGCAAGCAAATATTGCGATGAATAATTTGCTGCCAGCAAAATCAAGAGAAAAATACGAATATGATTTCGAAAATTTTATGAGTTGGAGAGAGAAAAAACCTTCGTTTTCCGAAAACGTTCTTACCGTTTATTTCGAAGATTTAGCAAAAACTTCGAAACCATCGTCATTATGAGCAATTTACTCCATGCTGAGAAGTATATCTCCTGAATATTAAGAACAATGTGGACATCAGCAAATATTCCAAATAACGTGCCTCTCTGAAACGCAAAACGCATATCTGATGGTTATAAACCGAAGAAATCGTCGACGCTACTGAACAAATAAATCAATTCATCAAGGAAGCTCCAAATGGCAAATATTTGTTTTCGAAGGTAACATATTTCCGCTTTTTCTTTCTATTAATTTTTGCAACAATTCAGAAATACTAGGACACAACATATGATTAATGAATTATTCAACCTCACCAGCCAACAGCAAATCATATTTCATTTGCAAGACGCCTCTAAAGCAAAGCATACTTCCGTTCTGACTGACTGACTGAATGAGTTTATTATCCAAAGCCATAATCTCAAATATATATGTCGTACCATTCCTTTCCACGTTCAGTCGTAGAGAAAGTATAGTATGCACCTCGAGGATAAGGCCAATTACGTCCATTCGCTCGTGGGTAATTGGATTCTTATCGTACTTGGCACGTAATACTATTAAATACTCTTGTCTATTTGAAACATACATTGTCAACTAATTTATGTGTTGAGTTGGGCTTACGCTGATTTTGACTAACCAAGCGTCTTGATTTCAAACAGGTTGGAGCACAGCTTCCTTACCCTTTCGGCTAATTTTTCTCGAAGAAGGACAAATGAGTATATGACTGAGGGGATATAGGCGGTATGAAGTCCCCAGACATCAGTACCCCCTTCACCGGGTACCCCTACCTGGCTGGGGTAGGATTGATGGAAAATGTATTCGTCCTTGAACGGGGGACATGGGGGCCTCATTCAACAGAGTGTCAGGTCCTTCTATATCGTGAGGGGTCGTCTACAGCATAGTCTATAACTTCCCTATCTAAAGGATTTTCGTGAGTTTCCGCGCTATCAAAAACTCACCGATTCCTCGACTGAATTGAATGCCGAATGGAAGGCAGCTGCAAATCTCTGCGGATGACTTCATTCTGCATGAACCAAGGAGCATTCACAATCATCCTCATTAGCTTATTTCGCAATGTCTCCAGAATGGAGATATCACACTTCGCCGCTTGTCCCCAGACGCCTGAAGCATACATGATGACAAGCTTGAACATCGGATTGTAGATGGTGAAATGTTCTGTCTTTCAGAATACATGGTAGAAGGCTTTTGAGATATCTAATAAAACAATGTGCACTTTTTTGTTGTTGTTTAACTCGTGAATGGTGTTTTCGACCAGCCTTACAGCCTGTTACTCATCAGTAGAGTGTTCTCTCCTGAAGCCAAATTGTTCATCAGGCAGAACATTTCGGTCCTCAACTCCTTCGTTGAGCCTTTGGAGAACAACTTTTTCAGCCAGCTTAGCCGCTGACGAGAGTAGACTGATCGGGCGATAGTTCTGTGGGAACAGCGGGTTCTGATCCTGTTTTGGGATCATGACGACGATCGCATGCTTCCATCTTCTGGGGATGTGTCTGAGGACCAACGAACTGTTTATGGTGTTCAGAAGGTTCCCAACGCAATTGTCTGGGAGCATCTTCAATAACTTGTTAGTTATTGAGTCGACCCCTGGAGCTTTCTTGGCCTTTGCGGCCCTGATGTAACTCTTCAGTTCTTCCACAGAAGCTGGACGGATGTTGTCTACGTCATCTTCCCTGAGGATACGGTGAACCCGGTCTTCCAACAGCATATCGCGGTCGATGTCGTCATCGTCGTCAACGTTAAGTTGAAACTGACGTTCCATCGTGTCTGCAAAGGATAACGCTCTGTCGGTGAGGGAGTAGCACACTCCTCGCTATCCGTGAATGGGTGAGGGAGCAGTCTTCTTCCCCCTGAGCCTGCGGGTGACTCGCCAAAGCTCGTCATCCCCATCTCCGAAGGATTCCACCTTTCGTTTCATTTCAATCACGATATTTTCCATCTAACTGACCTATAAAAAGCTATCGGAACACAAGACATAAGTATTCGAAGAGACTATTTCCTCAAGTACGTTTAACAGATCCGCGGAAAACAACTGTTCAGGAAATAAACTACTGCCGTCTGTTGAGAGACCATTTCTCTGTTTTCACAAAATTGATTATATCTTACCAGTCAGTTTATGAACGGTTCGACAAGCGTAATTCTTGTAGCCATCACCAGGACCGGCATTGCTGATGTAGAGGTCACCGTTCGCCAGCACCACGTACTTTCCCCCGATGTCCGTATTGGGGTAAATGTTTATGCTGTCGTCTTGTATCCAGGAGGTTACCATCACATACTCTGACACATAGTTGGGAATTTTGCATTTTAAGACGGCTGTGTTTCCAGTGATGACGTATTCGTCGTGCACTTGGATGTCATATTTTTGTTTGACAACTGAAACAAAGAGTTGACTGTTATTCTCATGGAAATAGTATTACAAAATTCATTAGGCACCTCATAAATTGATTTAAGAGTTTTCAATAAAGAATTGAATGATTTATTCAATTGAGGAAGAAGCTGTCGAAGATTATTAAATGAAATATCAACGTTACAGCTTCTACCTTCTAGATCAAATCAAAATATGTGAATGAGTTAGTTGATACAAAATTAATGTCGAAAATGAGCAGAAATTTAAAAGTTGAATGGAGAAACTCTAATCGCGCGAGAAAATGTCTATGTTGCACTAAACCTTAAACCAAGAGGAAAGAGGCGAGAGTGGAAAGAGATGAAAGCGCACAAGTGACCTATAAATAGTGTCAAATATTACGATTAAACCATTATTTTCATTTATAAGCAATATTTTATATTGATTTGTTTTCTTTGCAATGTATCATTCCTACATTTTGAAAAATTCATACTCATTCTTCATTTCTTGAACTTCCGTTTTTTTTTGTCAATTTTCTCTCATTTTTGCCATCATTACTGTTTCAACTAACTTATCCAAATATTTTGGTCTAGTTATAATTATTATTTAAAATTAAACAGTATCTACAGTATCATTGAAATCAATAACTTGTAAAGGAATAATCTTCAGCTTACATACTGATGCATAAATTGTTATCATATTTGAGGAAACTTTTTTCGATGTGGTATTTTCTACATTCAAATACATGAAATGTTCATAACCAGCTCTATGATCAAGTTCAATTATTTGTTCAGAAAATGCACACGGGCCGTCTAGGTTACATCTTCCTGAGTTGAAGGTCCATAGACCTACCGGTGAAGCCAGATTAGCATGTTAGGCTAATTAGGTTGGTATCGACAAAACACTTCGGAAAGAAACAATGTTGAACTGTGAGAATTATATATTTCATTCTGTAAAAAAAGTGATCATAGACATGCAATTCAAGAAGTTTGAAAAATTCACAGAGCGATATGTCGACAATCCGTTTTATTGTTTCTATAATATGGGTATAATATGGGCAATTTTCAATTTGGTGGGTAATATAACTTTCTTCTAAGATTTTGTAAACATTATAATTAACGTCTTTTGAATAGGACCTTATATTTCTTTTCGAACAGTGGTGAAATACTATGAAATATCTTCAGGAGTTCACAAGTAGACTCCTCACTCATATACTTTATATACACATATACTTCAGTGAAATATGTTTTTCTTTCATCGTGTATTTTTCTTTTATCGTGGAGGAAGCCGTGAACCAACATATGCTTGAAAATTCGGAAGGCTTCAACATCTTGAGCGATCATTAATATGGCTTTCGGAAACAAAGATCAACAGGCGACCTCCTATCGTATGTCACTCATATTTGAAATAACGCAATCGAGAAACATGGAGAGTCAAGATATGTTGCGCTTGATATTTCGTAATGCCTTTGACTGTATGTGGCATGAGGGTTGGCTGGTCAATCTTCGATGCCATGACCGTCGATGGATATCTCTCAAATACATTTACCATCAACGCTATTGTTTCCCAGAGATCCATATTGTCTCCAAACCCCATTTTATCGTATATCAATGACTCATTTGAAAAAAACAAGAATCCAATATATTGCTTTGTTGACTACAGCACACTCGTCATTCCATTGGGATTCCAGGATGCTGCGGATGCACATTTTCACTGGTAGCAGGACGTTGCATATCTTGATGAGGGTTTAGAAGTGATTTCGAATAGAGGTTGAAGTAACCAGATTCAATTCAATGCCACGGAAATCCAGGCATCGGTTTACTCAAAAAAAAAGAATGTCTCCAAACCGAATATAATTATATTAGGACAGACAATTCCGCTTTCCGCTTCGATAGGTTTGTTGGGGGTTAAAATGGACACCAATATGTCTTGGCACAATGATGCCGCTGGAATTGCAAATGCTGCTTCTCAAAAGCTTGGAACACCATTTCGAACCAGAAAACTCTACACACCTCAGCAACTTTTGATGCTCCATAAAGCTCAGATCAGACTTTCTTTGGAGTATTGTTCTCATGTATGGAGTTCTGTTCCTAAGCATACCCTGAAGCTTTTGGAATCCATCCATCTGCCATCTGCCTGATTGGAGACAGGAACATCACTTGCAACGTTGGTAGTCTGGAACATCGAATGAAGTCTGGAGGTGTTCAAGTGACTTGGCACATTTGATTCCACCAAGAGCGTTACATATCATTCTTGTAGTGCTTGTATTTTGTTATTAAAAATAAACTGTAAGTGGATTGTATCTATTCGTTCTTTCGAATAACATTTTCAAATAATGCAATACGTGAAACTGTTTTACGAGTTTTTCATTCTTGAGCTCATGATTCTGACTAGGGTAGTGACCGTTGGCGCGGTAGGTTCAACAAAATTATTGATAATTTTCAACTATTGATGAACTCCCAGAAATGATTTGCATATTTTTTGTATTTTGATTTGAAAATTCTTCTCAGTTCAACAATTGTTTATAGCTGGTTAACGGAAAAACAAATTTCTTAACAGAATTATATATCATTAACGAAACCTTATTTTATTTCTATTGTGATTTTGGTAAAGTAGTACTGTAGATATTTTCTTTACAACTGCGATAAGGTAACGGACGCAGTGCTCCAGTTTTTGGTTGCAGGGATGGCTTCGTTGCAGAGTTTACTCGTTTACAGTTCAATGCACGTAGCCGAAGTTTTTGAATTTTTATCATCTCCTTATATAATCATGGATACCATCTCTGAGTTATATCTAGCTTTTGAGTCTTCCCCATTTCGATAGGGGTAAATATCCCATTATACACTTTTTTTCATGGTAACAATGTGCACCGATCCACAGCTACAAATGATTCGGTAGCCAAAGACTGTCTGGTATCTTAAACTAATCTCAAACCCTTGAATTTTTATTCAACGATATGTTTTTCCAGAATTCTTCCAAACCGTTTCGAAATATGATTCTTATAGAGTAGGAAAGCTTTTCCATTGACGCGTCTGACTTGAGTAACCTTAGTTTTACGAAGGTATCGGCCTTTCAACTGACTTTTGCCTCTCAACTGATTTTTGAATTACTCTTACTTTTATCGTTCCTGGTGATTGGTATTTATGTTTATATGTGTTGGTTTCCAGTTTCCACTATGACTCAATGTCCTATTTTCACATCTGTTCAATAGTATGTCCGAAAAAGCTGTTGTTCCTTGAACTTTCGGTTCGATTGTGAATTGAAGAGAGATCAGATGGGAGAAATAAGTTTAGTTGCTATTTACCATGCTGTCTTACAGCAATATGATACTACGGAGCTTGCTTTAAGACACGTTGTTCGTACTTTTCTATGAAACAGTTTTTCACTACTGACGCGCCCACGCCGACCGGAAATTCAAATCTAAAACGATGTATTATGCACCGCGTCCGTTACCGTCAGAAGTATAAACATGAAAAACACTTGCCAATAACCAGGAAAATGGTTTTGACACAGTGTTCTCCGTTCATTCACCCATCAGCGTTATCTCCATCAAGAGCCACACAATCATTCCAGCGCCGCTCTAACGTTTTGATACCCCTTGTTTGGAACGATTTATCTTCTGACTGAAAATAGAATTCAGTTTCAACACTAACCTCTTCATTCAAGCAAAATTTCTTACCTTACCAATAAGCATTTTTTTGAGGTCTGCGAAGAGCCAGTAGTCGCTGGGAGCCAAATCTGGCGAAAGAGGTGGATGTGGGAACAATTCGAAATTCAATTTATGTAGATTTGCTATTGTTTTGATTGACTTCTGACACGGTGCGTTGTCTTGGTAAAACCACATTTTTTTCTTCGCCAAATACGGTCGTTTCTTCGCAATTTTGGCCTTCAAACGCTCCAATGATGCTATATAATATTCACTGTTGATGATAATCGCATAACCTGAAATACCAAGACCATAACATTTCCAGTCGATTTTTGTACTTTCAGGCGCTATGGACGAGGTTCACCAGTTGCTCTCCATTCAGGTGACGATCGTTATGATTCCGGAAAGAAGTGATGAATCCATGTTTCATCCATTGTCACATGATGACGCAAAAATTCTGGTTTGTTATGTTTAAACATGGCCAAACACTGCTTAGAATCATCAAGACGTTCTTGTTTTTGGTCAACAGTAAGCTAGCGCGGTATCCACTTTGAACAGAGCTTTCTCATAGTCAAACGCTCATCCACTTTTCATCATTCGAAACGATTATGTGGATTTTTTATGTTTTCTGGTGTTACTGCCTCTTTTGGATGTCCACTGCGTTCTGCATTATCGGTGTCTCTACGACCACGTTTGAAGTCAGCAAACCAACGTTCAATTTGTGTGATTATTTATAAAAAAAGTATCGTTTCAAACATCACTCAGTTTCACGATACAAAATATCCGTTTCGCTCACGAATTCTTAGTTATTCCTGATTTGTCCTACCCAGTTACTATTGGTATGGATTTTTTGAGACTATATAAGGTATTAATCAACTTAAAAGAGAGGTGTTTGCAATTTGTTGTGAATGAAAAACTAATAAAAATTCATGAAAACAATTTTCCTCACCAATTTCCACTTCCCATGACTATGTCAGCTCTCATAAATAAATCGTATCCCAACAAAATAGGAAACGCATTTACCGGATGTCCCGTTACTGTTTGTGAAAATAATTTTAATGTTTGTCAACTGTTATTGTCTTGTGATTTACCGGAAAAAGACAAAACTTTGTTGAAAGACTACTCAAATACAGGACGATATTTTCAGATATACCGGGGCGCACGAACTGTTATGAACATTCCATAATATTGAAAAATTACAACGAATTTTTTATCAAACCGTATCCGATACCAGTAGCACACCGAGCGGCAGTTAATGAAACCATTGCACAGATGGAAACTTGGGAGGTGATAGAACGAGCATCTATACCTTACATATCTCCTCTCATGACCACTCTTAAAAAAGATGGTAGCGTTCGAGTTTGTCTTGATGCAAGACACTTGAATTCTGTTATGCAAACGGATCGTGAACTTCTATGGCGTATTGAAGACATTGTCCGTTCTTTGAATGGAAAACAGTTTCTGTCAGAGATCGATCTTTCTAACTGTTACTGGCAGATACCTTTGAAACATGAAGATCGAAAATATATCTGATTTATCATAGGAAATAAAACTTATCAGTTTTGTGTTCTACCATTTGGGATCTCAACAGAGGTTAGCTCTTTTACCTGGGCAATTTCCACCATCTTTGGGGAAAAGTACGATGACTTTTTGCTTACATATATTGATGACTTGCTCGTGATGTCAGATTCGTTCCAGGATCATTTGACACATTTGGAGAAAGTGTTTTAAAGGTTGGAAGAAGCGGGTCTAACTGTTAAAGGAGAAAAATGCCGCTTCATTTAGGAAGAAATGCATACAAGCGATATCGGACTACCAACGTCCAAAAAATGTTATGGAGGTACAGAAGTTCCTTGGGCTTTGTAATTATGATAGGTGTTTTTCCCCCAGAATAGCCGAGCTGTCCGCTCCTCTTACTCATTTACTAAGGAAGTCTTCACGATGGCAATGGGGAGAGGCGCAGGAAAAGTCAATTCAAGACTTGAAGAAAGAACTGGAATGGGCTACGTTATTAAACCACCCTGATCTGGCTCTACCCTGGCATGTCGCAACAGATGCCAGTGATTATGGAATTGCAGGCCAACTTTTCCAAATTGTGGATGGGGAGAAAAGTGTGTGCAACTAGCGTTACAAGAGCAGCAGTCTGATTTTCCCTGACCACCCACGAAAAACCCTGAGAGCAAAATCCATTCCTTTACAAACTTGCAGCATCACATCATCTAAAGAATTTGATCTGCCAATGTCCTCTCTCATGAAACAAAATGTAGGGTGCCTTCAGAGGCTCCAATAAATTCAATTCATCGTCAGAACACTTAGTGAAATGACCATCGTCAAACTTAAACCAGTCCGTTTTGTCTTTGGCCAAGGCGTAATAATGACCAGATTCAACGCCAGAACCACAGTGAACAATGACTGCATGATAATTATGATAGTGGTTTGCTAGATTGAAGTGTTCATTTATTTCGAACATTCGTAAGAATTTGGTGCTTCCGTCAGAGTTTAAGTCAAGTTTGAAGACCATCAGTGTTATTATTAGATTGACTGGTACCTCAGCTATACTTGTTTTCTTATAACAGTCTGTTAGTTTGGCGCATGTTTGGCAATACAGTCGATCATCATCTGTTGAAAGTTCCATTTTTAAATGATTCACCAATAAGCTTTGCACGGAATGGTTATTAGTCATATTAGGAAAAGCTAGTTGAAGTTCCAGAGATTCACATACGTTTACGCTTCCTCTTGAACACTTACTACAAAGTAAACAAGTGAGGATTTTTCCAGCAAAAGATTTACAAACACAAGTCGAGATAGACTGTACGGAATCATTCAATCCAGAGCGGTCAGAAGTATTGATTCTGCTATTGTTTTGCTCACGGAGAGTATTCCCCAAGAATTCGGAACAATCCTCTTGTTGTCCAGAAGAGTATTTAGTGGACTTCAAAGACTCCAGGAA